CCAAATTGATAGCGCCCCCCCCCCCAACCCCCCCCCCCTCTACACACACATACACAGAGACACAGACACAGACACAGTCACAGACAAAGATTTGTTAAGCACATACTTTTGTTAAGAATCTTAGAACACTCATTTGGTGACATGCAAATACTGCGAAACAAGGATTAAAATCAAGAAACTTTGAGATTGGTCCCTCTGGAGCATGGACCGACCCTACGGAGGAAGGACAGCAGACTTCAATTATCAAGTTGTTGCTGGGCTGGCGTAGACAACCCCCCCCCAAGATTTTGGCACGGCCATTAAATGCAGTATACAACCTTCGCAGTAAATGAAAGCAAGTTGGAACTCTTACATCACTATTGATAGTACTGGATTATAAAAAAGGTGTGGTTTTGGTGTTCTTGCATCCCTCATGGAATATACGATTCTGAATGATTGATAACTTGGAATGAAATATTTTCAGTACAATTATCATGCTGAACTAGCTACTCACACCCATTAGTCCTATAATTACATGATTACTCACCTGGATGGTTAGGTCGTTGGTCAACCTGTAAATTAACAAGTATTTTTTTTATTAAATATTTATAGAATATTGATCGGATTGAGTTAATCAGGCCATTAAAAACTTGATCGAGTGGATTAACCAATATCTTGTCTGATTTAATTAAAAACCCAAAACATATAATACTTAAAGTGCCGAAATTCTCAAATCAACTTGAAATAATTCCAACTTAGGTGGCACCATCACTCAAAATTGAGAATAATTAATTTTGAAATTTTGTGTAAACAATAATTGTGCCAATGGACTTTTGGAGGTGTCAATAGCAACATATTTGTTTCTTAAAGTAAATTATAATTGAGTCCTTATTGCATCTTCAATAAACCAACATGTTTTAAAAAAAATAAGTTACTCAATTGAGAAGTTTTGACCGTCAATCCGTTATACATGAAGTAAAGGCTTAGCACTTTAATAATGGAAAACTAGAGGAAAAGAACTAAGTTATAGTAAGTGGAAATGACAACATGGAGGTAAAATATGGGGTTTTTTAAAAATAGAGGGACTGAGCTATTAATTTCCTAAGAGTATAGGGATTACGTTATAGTTTGTTACGATGAATTTGAAGGGTCACACATGGAATCTAGATGGTTGTGCTGTGTTTGCTAATTAATTAAAGTTGATCATGTTTCATGATGCGACAGATAGGTTAAAAATATGATGATTTTGTTCATAGTCTTAGTCAATTATCATTCGGTAGTTGAATCGTATCATCAATATTTTTCATGGAATCTATTATTATACTCTTTGACAGCTTAATTCCACCAAAAATTTCTTTAAGTAACTAATATTCTGGTATGCGTCCTTATTTTATATATTAACACTATGAGTAAACTACCCTTGTTTTCATTGACCAGTTCTCGTGCTATAATGCATTGCCTTGATTCATTAATTTCCCTAATTATAAGAAGATTGCCAGAGATAGCAAGTAATTCAGAACATGCCTTTTCAGAATGTGATTATGGAAGGAGCTAGCTAGTCAAACAGGTCTGGGTGTGGATGATATTAGCTCAGGTTTTGTGACTATGTCCTTGGCAAGGGCAAAGGACATGAGATTCAGTGGTGGAAAGCTATGGAACGTGGCAAGAGAAACTGCAAATGAAACATGCATTTGAACCATGGAAACGTAAATAAGGTGAGCATAATGAATTACTTTACCTCCATTGAGCCACAGAAGCAAAGGTTTCTCTTCAGGATTCTCAATGGCTTCAAAGAACCAATAAAACAACGCTCTCCCATGACTTTCATTGACTGTTACATAGCCTGCATACTGCTTGAACGTTACCTTAGGCTGGCCAGGAAGTCTAATGACTCTGTCTGCTTCTTGTCGGGCTAACACATCTTGAGTAAGCTCAAAGTCAGCCTCACTCGCTCTAGCTGAGCTAAGTATGAAGAAAAGAAGAAGAAAAAGATGCAAAGAGAACGAGTATAAAGCCATTGTTACAGACTGCATATACTCTTCTTCTGTTTTGGTCTCTCTTGATATGGGAATTCAAAGAAAGACAGATAAGAATGGTCTCTTGTGTTGCCGTTCAAGTGTCGTGTATAGGGTATGATAAAAAAGATTCCTTCGCCTAGCTTGTTTGAATTGTTTCCGATGACCCTCTTTCCATTCCCTAAATATAGAGGGAAAAAAAAAAAAGTGGTAGCAGTAGAATGGGCCCAAAGATTGTCAATGGTGGGTTCAACGACCATGTACATTCATGTGTGGAAGTCATCAATACTGAAATCATGACCACATACAGCATATAAATAATTTTTTTATACTATTATTCATGAAAAATAAATCATTACATTCACTCATTAATAATAATAAAAAAACTAAAAAGTGTTCACACTGTTTATACATACACATTGCACTATAAATAATATTAGTAATTCACAATATTTTATTTTATTTTTTTAATTTTTATTATGATTTTTTTTACAAATTTTTTTTCATTGTTTTCATTTTTTAATACTGAAATAATTGAGAATTTAGTTTCATAATTTATTTTTTTATTTTACTTTTCTATAATGTTAGTATGGTTGGCAGGTTTGTTAAGGTAACTAGCTTGTCCCGGTGTACAATTTGATGGAGTATTTTTTTAATTGAACTTGATTTATTTATCATTTTTTTTTCATATAATTAAAAAATAGTTTCAGATAAAAGTCATGTTATCAAATTTTATAAAGTTCATGGACCTATTAAGAGGTTTGGCTAGTTGACTTAGTTCGTGAGTCTGACAAATTTAATTTTTTTAATTAGTTTTTTTATTTCATTCTTAGATACTAGATTAATTAATAATTTAGTTTTATAATTGATTTCGCTTAAACCTTTATGAGGTTATAGCAATCTAAGAAAAATCTCTGTATTGAGTTGGTATTTAATTTCATAATCATTTATTTTTATTACCATATAATTATATAAAAATAGTTTTAAAAATAAATAAATTATAATTCCAATGAAATCCATAACCTATTTCACATGTTTGGCATACTAACTTGACTTACTCAATTTACAGGTTTGATAAGTTTACTCACCGATATGATATATTTTTTTTGTCTTTTAATTGTTTTTAATTTATTATTTTTTGATTTTATTTTTTAATATTGAATTGATTGAGAAATAGATTGAATTATTGATTCTTGTTTACTTTCTATAAGGATAATTGCCTTAAATAATTAATGTTTATTGTTAGGTTGGTGCTCAATTTTGTGAGCATCTATTTTTATCATATAATTAAATAAAAAAATTATAAAAAATTATTGAATCCAATAAAATCTATGACTTGGGTTATAAAGGGATCGAAGTTGATTCAATATGTCATTGTATCAATATTTTTTTAAAAAAATATCATCTTAAAGTTTTTTTTAGTTATTTTTTATTAATCATTAAGGTTGCATTTGGACCTATAAAATTGATTAATTTAAGTCGAGCCAGCTCCTATACGGAATTAAAAACTTGAGTTAGATAAATAATTGAGTTGAGAGATTTTAAAATTAATCTACTTGATCAAGTTTAATAACACTGTTAAATTTTTTTATATATATTTTTAATATTTTTTATATTTAAAAAAATTAACCAACTTTCAGCAAATCACATATGAATGGGCTGGTGAACATTATATTTTGTGGGAACACCCTTGAATATTAATCCTATTGAAAATCTTTCTCAAATTCATTTTCTAAAGAATCTCAACCATCAAATTTGTGTGTGATTTGTAAATGGGACCACCTCATTTACTGTGCATATGATTTTCTTTTTTGAAATTACTAGAGAAAAATATTTGGTAACCATTTTATTGTGTAGATATTTTGTTGCCATGCGCTGAAAATAAAGCGAAATCTTGGACTTCTCGGAGCTTTGGGTTGAAACTTCGACACCTTTGAAAATCCAACCTTTTGGTTCAAAGTTTGATCCATATGTTGACCATTTTCATAATCATGACAGTAACCTTCAAGATATTTAAAATTGGTTCAAGGTTGACCATCAAAACACAAATATATATATATATAGAATTGTTATCGAACCAATTTAAGAAATTAAAAACATATTGAGGATTTAACGAAACGAACCAAGATAATAAAAGAAATTATTAGGTCGACATAGGATTCATAGTAAATCTCATGTTTTTTTTTTAAATTTAAAAGGTTTAATTTGAATATATATATATATATATATATATATATGTATGTATGTATGTATGTTTTTGACCTGGTTTATTCGTTAAAAGACGTTTAGTCCACCAGATAATGCATCTCTCTTTATGGAATATTCTTTTACTGAATGTTCTAAATCTTGGTAAATTTATTTACACGTTGGATCATTCTTTTGACAGGACCCACGGGTAAATGATAATTTTAAGAATTACAATATAAAAACAGCTTCTTAAATCGAGATATTCAATGAATTACACACTTATATATACATTAAAAAAACATAAATGATAAAATTCAAACGAGAGATATTTTTCTTTTCTATTGGATATTTTATCTCCTGACTTTTGTCTTTTTTACACAAGCTAATTGTCTTGCTGACACTTTGGATCATGAGGATAAGAAAGCAACAGGTGGCAGTTTCCTGTTGGCCAGGAAGTGCCTCACCAGTTGAAGAAAAAGATTTCGGAGCCATGCTGCCTGGAATTGGTGGCCTGCTCCTTCCACTGTAATAAATGCCAATCCTTCATATATCAGACCCCAACCTTTGATATTTCAATGTCAGTTTTTTTTTTTTTTCCCAGTTATGGAAAATATATGTTGAATTTTTGCTACCTCTAACAAAATTGGCAAAAATATAATGCTAATTTACCCAAAAATCTCATTTATTATGGGAGTATTAGCCTACAACACTAAAAAAACTGAAATTTCTTATGACCGTTCACTATTATAACTTTGACAATGCCATTAATGGTTCCTTGTGTCTGGTGTATTTTTTTTTACAAAATCACAGTTTATCTTGAATGATTTATACTGTCCATCTAAGATTATTGCATGATCCCATGCACAATCAATCCTCCCGTACAGGCCATTTTCATCATGCAACGATGCATTTCCAGCACAAGTCATAAATTGGATGCCATTAAAGGTTAATCCATGGACTCCAAATTTATGAGAGAATATTAATGCAATGATAAACTTACCTTGAAACCGTTCAGATTTATGTAATTGTCCTTAGTGGATTTCTTGTTGTCATCATAGATTAAACTTCTAAAAATATCCAAATAACTTAGAAATAAGACTCTCACGTCGAATAGTCGATTAATCAATTGATTATAACAATCTCATCTATTTTTCTTAGTCAAAGTGATTAATAACTTATATTTGTTACTTTATAGGTCAATGTGACTTATAACTGATATCTATAAAAAGGTTTCATTTGATAGATGTAAGAATTTTTAGATGTTTAAGTATTTTTTAGAGAGAGAAAATACAATAATATTCTAAAAAGATATGCTCTCAAGTATATATTTAATAGAGAATAAAGATTATCAACTTTTATTTTGAAGGATTTATAGTGCATTTATAATATATAAGTTTTGTTCTTTTATGGAGAGGAGGGATTGCAGTGTAATTTTACTTTTATAATATTTTAAGTTGTATCGTGAGTTATATTCCACTAATTTTATTGAGCAAAAAAATAAAATATATGGTAGGCTATGAGAGACTTTAATACATTTAATAATAGTGGTGGATTATAAACTTGTTTAATCAAGCTTATTTATTAAGAAATAATTCATCTAAGATTTTATATAAAAATTTATAGAATTGGTGACTTTGAATTGAGGTATTATGTTTGAATTTATAAGTGTTTCGAATCTGACCATATCTGGGATGCAATGATAAAAACATTAAGCTTAACAACCTTGGATAATGTGTAACAAGCCCATCTTATTGGTTTGGTAGCATGCCAGGCCAAGCTATTGGACCTGGTAACAGGTGTAAAACCAAATGGTGTTTGAGTCTGGCATGCATAAGACCCATACACTAGGTTTGGTAGGTTTTAGACCAAGTGTCAGTTAGGTCTGGCCATCGCCAGAACCAGTAACTTTTAAGGTTTTCATTTGACCAGACTTAATAATACCTGATTCTATTGTTGATTAATTTTATAAGTGCACGAATAGTAACAAGTAATAAAATGATAAGTGGAGTATCATCTCACAAGGATTTATTAAAATTACTACTAATTATCAAAATCCTTTAAATTATGATCTATTTGAATAATTGAATGGGATAGTTTACGAAACAAAAATTAATGATTAAAAACAACCAACCAACTAATTAAATATTACTTAAACTTTCTTAATTAAATTAATGACTCCTAGCGTTGATAATCAGGTTTTTCTAATTTAAACATTAATCTCTCTCTAGTATCAATGAATTATTTCTTTTATATTATGGCCTTTTTATCCCTTGCTGGAATGAAGAAAGTTTCATTCTCTGTTTTGTATTCCTTCCTATCTGGATATTGCAGGCCAAATTTGAGGTAGAAAATATGCAATTCAAAAATGTTTATTTCTAGAGATATTCTAGAAACTCAAATCTTGTTTCTAGCACTATTGATCTTGTAATTTTTGGACCTTTAAGACTTGAGATATGAGCCATAACCCGAGACAGCATTTGGAGTGCAGGAAGTTCGGGTTTGATTCAATCCTTGTTTTTTCAACTCGCTCTTTAGGTTTCAAAACAGTAAAACTAAGTTCAATGCCTTTCATATATTTTGTAGATCTTCATCTTAGATTTTGAAAATAGTGAAGAACACCTAGAATTGAGTTGTATAACTTCCTTTGTAGTCCAAAATCAATCAATGTTTTTACTTTACTATTAGATTCTGCTTACTTAACAATCTAGTATATAAAAATATATTAATTTTTCACGAGGTTAATAATTTTAAAAAAAAAATTAAAATTCTAATTAACTTGTACAACATATTCAAAATATTTTAAAATCAAGCATGAATAGTAAAAAATATACATGCTATAAATTCCCTTATCATCTATCTAATGCAAGACTTAACATGCCTTCACGTGGACATGTTTAATGATAGCATATATCAGCCCAATATTTTCTGAGAATACGATAAAATTATACCTATATATTTTTTTTAATATGATAAGTTTTAGAAAAGATAAGTATAAAAATATACTAAAAAAATCTTGGTTCATTGATAGATAACCTCAGCAAGCTGTGGTACGTGATGTCCTACTAAACTTGAGCAATTTAAATGATGGAATTAGAAGTCAAATCTGATTTTAGCAAACTGTTTTTATCAAACAAGCAGTAATATTTGTATACCTGCGTGGCTTTCTCCTGCTATATAGAATTATCTTTTGAACCAATTTAGGAGAAATGTGCGTGTGTCCCAAGCTAATCATGAGAAAATAGTTGAGAAAAAGACACTAACAGAATTGGCATCCCCGCATACAACATTTGCAACACCAGATTATATTTCACAATCAATTTCCATATCCGGTCAACTTTCAGTACATCATCTCCTTGAACATCAGGACTCCTGTTATCTCCATTAAGCCACAAATGGAGAGGTTTCTTCTCAGGTTTCTGTGTTGCTTCAAAAAACGAGTAGAAAAGAGCTTTCCCATAGTTTTCATCAATGGTAACATATCGAGAATATTGCTGGAACTTGACTAGAGGTTGGCTGGGAAGTTCCGTAAAACGGTCGGCATCTAGATCTTATGATTAAGATCCCATGAAGAGGCATTCAACAACAACTAAAAAAGACGAAGAAAGGCACAAAGTGAATTCACTTGATTTATAGTTCTTTCAATTTATAGAGTGAAAGCTTATGAGTTTTTGGGGTACCCCAAGACGTGGTTCATAGTTCTTTCAATTTATAGAGTGAAAGCTTACGAGTTTGTGTCAAACATGTGAATCCAAAATTGAGGTCTGAGCTTTTTATTCTTGATTTAGATGTATCAAATATGTCTGATGACATATTATGATAATGCAAAATTACAGATAGAAAGGTACAGAGGAAATCCCAAAGAAAGACATTTCTTTTAGAACAATTTGGCATGTATGATGTTGCTGCATGAGAACCAAGTTTACGGGTAAATTAGAAAGATGGATCAACACATAAAAACAAAACTAGTACAATATTAGGTAATTCTAAGCTCAATTCCTTCGAGGAATGCTCTGCAGCTTGATAATTTCATGACAAATTGGATCATGGGCTGATTAAAAAGCAACAGATGGGAGTTTCGTGTTGGCTAGGAAGTGTCTGACGAGTTGAAGAGCACGCTTTGGAGCGTATGTAGGAACTTGGTGACCTGCTCCTCTCACTGTTATGAATGTCAACCCATCATAGGTAATTGTCCAGCCTCCAACCTAGATCATATTAGAAATTAGTTTCCTTGCCAGCGATTGTTCAGTGAAGAGCAATTTACATTTACGAAAAAAGCTCTTAGACTCTTTTAGATTTCAGATTGATAAGATGTTTTGTATATATGATGTTGTTTGGGAATGCTATCTCCATGATATTTTATAAAAATATAAATTTGTTTTATAAATTTATTATTTATAAATGTTTAAATTATTTAAATACACTGATATCAAAAATAAATTTTAAAAAATAAAAAAAATTATAAAAATATTTTAATATATTTTCAAATAAAAACACTTTAAAATTATTATAATAATACACAAAATCATAGCATTTGAGTTGGTCCACACGAGTTGCTAAATCTTTTCGACAGTTCTAACAACACAGTTATTATTATAACTGATCATAAATCCCTGTGTGGAAAATGTATTACCTCTCTGTGGTTATACCATGGAGTCCAATCTTCAGTAATGTTCAGTCCAAGCTTATTTAAGGTATACCTGGTTGAGGTCACTGGAACTCTACCATCTGTGTCTCCACTAATTATATAGTAGAGCATAAATTTAGAAGATTAATAGACGATTCCATACAGAAATCCCAAATATTACTAATGTTTAAGCATCAATTTTTTTTGTTTTGTTTGAGGATTAATTACCTGAAGACCCATACGCGAATGCCCCCATTGATGAGCTTCTTTATTACTGGTAAGATTGAAGTGGCCGAATCTTGCCAGGCACTGTTCACATCATTACTAGACACAAAATAAACCAGAATCATCATAATTCAGGTACACTTGTTCAAACAGATTTTTTTTTGGTTAATAGTTGAAATTTTATTAAGAAAAAAGACTATAAAGATAATAGTCTCACTTACATTAGAAAAACAAGTAGAGGAAAAAAAGCACAAAAATTGTTGCATAAAACAGGGGAGAGCAGAACGAGGGAACAAACAAATCATAAGAAACCAACTTCTTTTTACTAAATATTCTCTATATTAAACTCTAAAGAGTTGGAATCAAGTCTCAACCATAAAAAAAATACTTTGACACACCATGAAAAAACAAATTTGAAAGTTAGGGGCAATATCATTAAAAATAACATCATTTCGGTGAAGGCAAAGATTCCAAACAACACATAAGAAAAGAAGTTGTAATAAAAGATTCTTGCCTTTAACCATAGAAGAGCATTGATAGCATATATCATCAAATAGATTAATTTAGAAGAAACATTGCTAATTAATCAATGAGTTTTAGATAAAACTAACTTGCAAAGGACATATGGTCCTGGTATGTTGGTTACATTAGCATGAAGTGCTGCCTGAACATATGGAAGATTGAAATAATCTGTTGCATGATTCATCGTACATGGATCATATCCTGCTGGAATTCTACGCAGAATATCCTGTATGGAAGGACCTCATTACTTGATTAGTTAAATGAAAGATTAATTTAAGGGAACGAAAAAGAATTAAAGAACATACGATTGTCTTCAGGGATTTTGGGACTGCAAACATATTTGTAGACTTGGCAAAGGGTTGATCCAGAGGACAAGTTGGAGAATACAAGCTATACACATCGATGATTTTGTAGACATTATAGTACTTCAATAATGAATCCCAGCATTCTTCAGTCAGATTTGTGGTAAAATCACAGTTTCTCTTGATTGAGTTGTACACCCCATCTGAGATTATTGCATGATCCCATGCATAATCTATCATTCCTTTCTGATCAGTTTCATCATCCAATAATGCATTTCCAATCTGCACAAGATGGAACAAGCTGTGTATGGAAAAATGATCTGTTTTATGCATTTCTAAGCCAAAGTATTATGATGTCTATAAAAATAACAAGGATTCTAATCTACATATTAAACCTACCATGAAACCCTTAAGATTTATGTAAGTGTCCTCTGTGGAATTCTTGTTCTTATCGAAGATAACTTCAGCAAGTTGTGGTACATAATGGCCTAAATTGAGTCGTGTAAATGCTGTCAGAAGTTCAGAGCTGCCAAATTTGCGTAATATTCAGAACAATAATATTTACATACCTGCATAGCTTTCTCCTGCTATGTAGAATTCACTAGACTTGTATTGTGGAAATCTCTTGAACCAGTTTAGGAGAAATGTGTGCGCATCCAAGGCTAAGCAAAAAAACAAATGTAACAGTGTTAATTTGAATGCAAAATTTACAAGCCCTCCATCTGTTTTTCTTCTATAAGCTCTTACGATCAGTCATGGCAGTGATAATTCTGAAATCTTATAATCAACTTCTATTATCCAATGTTCAGTTACCCGTCATATTATCTCCTTGAACATCAAGACTTGTATTAGCATATGAAAATCCAACGCCGGCCGGAGAATCCAAGAATAGTAAATTTGCAGCTGCATCATTTGAAAGCAATAAAACAAGGAAAAATGTTAATGCTGCCCTCTTTTGCAGTAGGTGGTCTTCTTTGCTTAAGTTAGCTGAAAACTGCACACCGCTCATTCATAATGAAAATATTTATATAGTATAATTTTGTGGGACAAAAGAGAAGAAATGCCTTTATTCCAAGTGTAATTATTGAATACTATTGATGGGCCTTCCTTCACCAAAAATGGGCCGAGCTCTTGAGCTTCACCAAACCCAACAGATGAGCATCCAGGACCTGCAAGAGAAGCACTTTAATGATATTAGATAGCATTGATTGTAATGGAAAAGGTTGAATTGGATTTTTCTTTTTTTGAAAAAATCTATGAACTGGATGTTTAGGGATAATTTTTCTATAAAATCATCTTTTCTTTTTAAAAAATAAAAAATAGATGAGCCTTCGTAGATAGTTAGCTACCTCCATTGAGCCACAGAAGGAGAGGTTTCTTTTCAGGCTGATTTGTTGCTTCAAAGAACCAATAGAAAAGTGCCTTCCCATAAGTTTCATCAACTGTAACATATCCAGAATATTGCCGGAACTTCACCGGAGGTTGGCCAGGAAGTCCTAGAATACGGTCAGCATCTTGAAGTGCCTTGATCTTATAGTCAAGTTCCCATGAAGAAGCACTCAAGAACAATGCAAAACTGCATAGAAAAAGATGCAATACAAAAGCTGAAAGTCCCATCTTCAGATCGTTCTATTCAAGATGTGGCTCTAAGCCCCTTTATAGCTTAAGCCCATGGATTGGTGCCGAACATGTAAATCAAAAACACTTGTTGTCTTTAGCTTCATCAAGTGTTAATCTATGAAATATGTCTTTGACCTTGTCTTGATATCTAAAGAGACCATGCAAAATGAAAAAGCTGGCAAATGCAGCTTGTAACCTTTTCCATTTGTACATGGAAAAGCTTATAGGTTGATGACGAGCATGCAAAACAACCATGAAAAATGCAACCCGTAATCCTTTCCATTTTTACATGGAGAGCTTGTAGGTTGGTGACAAGCATGTGAATCAACTATTGTCTTAGCCGATGATCTTGTCGATATTAAAAAAAATAAAAATTGAAAAATATTCAACATGTCCTTTGACTTCGTGTTTCTGAGTGGAAATATGTGACAAACAGAACTACTAACGAAGGTTCTATTATAAGCATTTGCTTGGCTTCATTAGCCCTAAACAAATTCAAGGAAAAAGAAATGGAAAAAAAAAAAAAAAACCTCTAGGGAAGCATAATCCACCAATTCAAGTTTCACTTGTGATATGATCATGAAGAAACCATTCTGGTTCATGACGTGCCATGGTGTTTGTTCTTTACTCAAAGAATATAACTTAAGAAATAAGAGAAATTAAAGAGGTTAAACATTTGAGAAAAACAATTAATTTGTTCCCTTTTGTTTTCGTTGCTTTATGCAATGGTGAAACTTGCCGGCGCCTTTATATGAAGTCACAACATTAAAATCATCAATTAAATGTAATCCAGCTTTTAGATATATCCGAACTGCTCAATCATTCCTTAACAATTTTTCAAGAGTAAATTATTAGAGCCATCAACATTTGGAGGATGCATGCTTGGCAAACCCTCCAAATAAGAGTTACAAACATTCATACGAGACCCAGCCAAATACAGATTCTTGTTCTTTAAAAGTGTAGACAAGCAACTATAAAGGTATTTAAGACTGTGCTTGTGATTATTGTTAGGTGTTTTTTATGATTGAAGCCGAGTATGAAATTATTCATTTGCCACAATGAAAAATGAGTAAATGAGAATTTCTGATTTAAAGTCTATGTTTTTAGCAACAAGACTAAGACTTGTATAGTGTATTTTCTCTAACAAGGAGAGCAACGACATACACTCTTTGTCTTAAAAAAAAATAGTAAACTCCACTATAGCATGTATTTCATACTATATGTACTAGCGACCATTACATGAATAAAAGAATGGATCCCTGCTTCTTTATTATGTGAGTCCTGAAGATCATATCTAAGATCTCAAAATCTTATTTTTTGTGACTTTTGACTATATCATAAGGTGATGTATTAATGATCGATACTTTAGGAGTATATCTTATAGTCATATAATGATTTGACTTAAAGGAATACTCTTAGAAAAGCAAGTTAATTTAGATTTAATTGATATGAAAGCGAAAGAAAAAGTAATTTTAGTTTTACACCTGTTACTTATATTTATTGGCTGAGATCATATCACTTAAATAGATTTGATATGATTTAGAATACTTGTAATTATAAGGATGAATTAAGTATGAAATTCTTGAGGGATTGAATTATATTCAGTCATATTTAACTAAAAATGCTTAGGGTATATTAGTACACTTTAAGAAATAATTAATTATGAGGTTGATGTCTCCTATATGGCGTATATTAGGTTTATATATTGGAGCTCTTTTCACTATATGCTTCAGATCGCACGGTCTGTTCGTCAAGTATGAAATTCTTGTGCAAGTTTGAAGTATAATGTACTAGAGAGATTCAGTTCTTCATGGGCGAGTGAGAGATATTAGTTATTAGACTAGGACTGATCCACCCATGATGGATGAGTCTGATTCAAGTTATTAGAGAAGTTACTAAAGGAAGTAACCCCCTTCTCTAATCATATATAAAAAGGACATAACCTATATAGAATAATAAGTTTTTCATTATTGAAAGAACAGAGTTCTCTCTTTCTTTTCTCCTATCTTGATTCTCACTTGATAAGATTTACAAAGATATTTGTACTGTAAAACATCACTTTGATTCTAGTAATTGAAGTGATAATAAATTAATTAATCCAAAAATAAAAAAAGTAAATTCTCACAACAACTAAGTTTTCCTTTCAAATTTACACAAAACCTGCCAGTGATGGGTCCTATTGCCTAAGTTTTCCTTTCCAATCTACACAAAGTCTGTCAGTGATGGGTCCTATTGCCTAACACTGTCCATCAGCTTTGAATCCTACTACACGACTCTAAAATCCTCCTAGAAACACGACCATCAACTTTGGGTGTAGCTGTCCAATAAAAACAAATGGTGATGAACCCTATTAGGGCGGGATCCATTAATGAAGAATCTTGTGGAACACAGAACAATATGCTAATTTCTTTAAAGTGACATTAAACATGTATCCGTTAACTTGAAAAAATAAACACTAACAACTGTGAATTGTTTGAATAAAAATATTAAAATACAAAGAACCTGAATTTTAAATTGAAAACAATCAACACATGTTTCATTAATTTCAACCTATCTATGCAAACTTCCAGCAAGGGCTTCGATAAGTTTTAATATAAAAAAATATTTAAATGTTGTTAATATATATATTTTTTTAAATAACTATATAAAAATTAATTTAATGTGATTTGATTGACTTGGTAAATTCAAAAACAACATAGAAAATTTATAAAAATGTATGACTTAAAAAAAAATCAAGGTGATATTTTTTAAATAAATATTGAAACGATAACAGGTTAACTTGTCAAATCTACTATGTAGTTAAGTTATAAAACCTTGATAACCTAATAGAAATAAAATAATAATAAAAATTATTAGATCTAATTTTTAATCAATCCAATATTAAAAAATTAATTATGGTAATAATCAAAATTAATTCCCACTATTAACAACATTTTATTAACCATAATAAATCAATAATTAAACATACAAATAGTAGCTATAAATTCAAATTTTTTTAGTTGAAAATTTTGTTTAGATTTGGAGTAATGTTTGTGGAAGAGACAATTAACATTCATGAGTTGGATTGAATGAAATAATAGGTTGGAAAAAATAATTTTTTTAGTTAGCAAAAAATAGTTTTTTATAGCCTAAAATATTAATTTACTATAAACCCAAACTTATATCCGAACCCATGCTTATCCTAAATCTTGAGCACAAGCCTGATCTGGGTCAGTTCATACGTGTGTCAATTTAAACTCAAAGCTCATTTTATATATAACTTATTCTCTCTAGAATAATCTTTTGTAATCTAAAATATTAATTTCCTATAAACCCAAGCTCACATCTAAGCCTACACCGGACCTAAATCCTAAGCATGAGTCTGGGTTGATAGGTGTGTATATAAGTTTAAGTTTGAAGCTCGTTTTGTTTAGAATTTATAATCTTCTCTAAAAACTTAAGTATTTTTTAAATTTAATTTTTATTTTTTAACCTTTTATTTTTTAAATACCAATAAAATCTCGTATCAACCCGCTATACCAGAACAAGTTTCATATCTATGCTACACAACAAATTACCTCTAGACTTCGACTTCGTGATCTCCTTTTCTTTTTTTCATATATTTTCAGAAGAAGTTTCATTCTAGCTCATGAACCATTTGTCTCGGATCCGACAAATGGTGCTCTTGGCCATAACCGTTCCAATTAATTCAACCCCTGCTTCCGCAAGATTTCAAAGGGCATGATGTCCATTAGGGCGTGTGTCAGTGTGTGGATGTATTGAATCGCATGTTTGTTCATATTTGTTCCTACAAATTGATAACGGCTCAATAATGCAATTCAGCGGCGGTCCACAAGCGATGTACTCCAAGATGGTGTCACCATGGGGACCATAACAATATCATCCCGTTTTATAATTGCTGAAGTTTCACATGGATCCATATTTATAGAGTGCTCATCCACCGTCCACTTGGTTCATCCTCGAATACTAGCAAAGATAGCATCGCAGGAGGAGTACTGTCCACATAAGCCATGACAAACATAATCAATAAGATTGAGAGACGCAACCGAGGTTCTGGCCTAACGGTGAGAGGAGGTTATTTTTTTTTTTGTATCTGGGTTCGAATCTTACTATGTATGTTTGTTACCCCTGCGGTGCCTTACATGCTCACTGGGCTTGCAGGATGTTCAGTGGGCCATGGGGATTAGTCATGGTGCGCGTAAGCTGACCCGGACACCCCATGTAAATCAAAAAAAAAAAAAAGCTTAAGAGAGGTGTAGTCTCATTTTTAAAAAATTATTAATTTAAATTTTATAAAATTTAAGGTTATTAAAATTTTATATAATTATTAATTTTAAAGTTAATAGAATTAATTAAGATATCTATAAACTGACATGAATATTTATATTAATTAATAAATAAAATAATAAGGAAATTATTGATAATCATGAAGTTATACTTTTTTAAAATTATTATAAGTTTATATAATTATTAATTTCATAATTTATAAGATTAATTAAAATACATACAAATTGATCTTAACATCTATATTAATTAAAATAATAATAATGAAGAAGCAGTTACCACTTTCTTGTAGATCTGAACATCTATATTATATTGATTTCAAATACACTTATTTACCATGATTTAAAATGAAATTTTCAATGGTTGAAGGCAACATGACATTTGAGAAGGAATCTTATTGTTATTACTTGTAGTGATCTCATCAACACTAGGGAAATCACAGCTGCAACAAAGGAAAAAAAGAGCACACACAAGAAGATAAACAAGCGTGGATATAATAATTATATCCCAGCTCATGTTTTATTTCTCATTCTTATTCCAGCCTTCACGTACCACCATTTTCATTTATAGCTACCTTCTTCAATTCCACTAGATCATGGTGTTGTTTTTACTGATACAATTTTTCAAGCACATACTGGTGGGTACTTCAAATAGCATATCCCGCTGCAACAACTTACGTCGCCGATTAAGCATGGAGATGTACCTGGAGGGAGGCACTTGTACGCCGATTTAGGCATCATCACATTTGAGAGTGGAATGTTCTTGGTATTACTAGTAGCGATCTCATCAACGCCATCAGAGGTGAGTGGGATAGAAAGCACAAGGAGAAATAGTCGCCATGAAGAGTAAGGACACTATCAGAAACAAACTCACTTTCTTGCTATCCATCTCTACCAAACACTCGCACACAACCGCTAAGCTTTTAATTTACTCACTTGCAGAGTAAGTTTTTGTTCTTAATGCATGATAGAGGTTGCATGCAGAGACTTCATTATATAGCGATGTGATGATTTTTCCGCTCGACAAATTGATAAAGGCACTGCTCAATAATGCAATTCTTCAGCCCACGTTTAAGTGTTGTCCGCCATTAGTCACGATCACTTCTGGACCACAGTAATATCATCACGTTTTATCCTCGTTGAAATTTCACAAGGATCGTGCCTTCTACTTTCACAAGCAGAGCCTGAATTTTTTTTCCACGGTAATACAGAAATATTGAACCTGTCAACTGAGACTAAGAGTGTGTTTGGTATTGTGGTAGCTGTTATGGTTGTGGTTTGAAAAAAGTTATTTTATAAAAAATATTTTTAGTTGAGGTTAGTTTGAAAAAATAAGTGTTTGGTTAAAACTGTGCTTGAAATTGAGGTTGAAGAAAAAGTAGTTTAATGTGTTTGGTTAAAAATGTTTTTGAAATTGAGGTTATAAAATAATTTAAAAATATATATATTAATATTGATGATTTTTAATTTAATATTATGGATTTAACTATTGTTATTATATACATCCGACAAGAACTACAATTTTTATAATTTTTTAGGATATAATAAAATTAGATAAAATATTATAATTAATAAAATTCACCCTAAACTAGTTTTTTTTAACAAAAACATTAAAAAATTAATAATCTAAATATATATATATATATATAGAGTATCCACGCAGTGAACAGCGAAAGAGAATTACACTATTCACTATTTTTAAGTGAACAGTGCAATTCTCTTGAACAGTGCACCACTATGCATTGTTCAATGAATAGTGCAATTGCATGAACAGTGAAAAAAACAAATAATTCTTACTTTTTAAATTCTGTGTTTTTAACGCAGAAAAAATATGGAACCCAGTGAATAATATACCTTCATTTTTTCTAACCAAACAACTGCAACTGCGTTTTAAATAAAAACGCAGCCGCAACTGCAGAGCCAAACGGGCTCTAAAGCTCATGGAAAAATATTAATAAAAAATAGTTGCAAAAGAAAAAATTAACAAAAATGAGGATACAATGAGAAAAACACAAAAATGATGAAATTTGAAAAAAAAATGATTCTAAAAAATAATTAATAATTAAAAAATAAGGACTAAATTTAAAAGATTATAAAATTATAAGGAATAAAATTAAAAAAATTTATAATTTCATAGACTATAAATTAAAAAAATAATAAGGAGTGAAATTAAATCTAGTCAAGTTAAACTTATTAAAAATAACTTGATTGAATTGAATAATGTACTCTCAAATTATGGTTGTTTAGGCCCTCCGTTCATATTTTTCAAAAAGTATATAGTTTAAATTGAATAAAAAATAATTGAATTATTTATTAACAAAATAAAAAAAACCCCAAAAGGAAATATTTCAAGAAAAATAAAAGAAGATATTTTTTTAAAAAATAAAAGTACTTAAAGAGAAGATAAGAAGCAGATTAATGAGATAACTTCACACACTTTTTCATTTACATTGTGCATGTATAAATACAAGATTAAAGAGCTTATTAAGCTTGAAGTTTTGCTATTCTGTAACTAACTGCAAGCTGTTCATAATTTAAACTAAACATAAAGATTTGATTCTGGTATGAGGATTTTGTGGAGAAACTGATACTATTGGATGAGTGATTTGTTGAAGAGTGATGACTTTTCTTATATGCCCCCGCAAGATGGAGGTACCATCAGCAACTCCAATCTTGGATCTTAAGACTTGAAAATGATGGTGTGGAAGAGACTTCGTAAGCAAGTCTGCAAGTTGATCTAAAGTGTGAACATGACTAATAGTAATGCGACCTTTTTGGATAAGATCGTGAACAAAGAGAAGGTCGATTTCGATGTGTTTCATACAAGTATGTTGCACTGGATGTAGGCTGAAATGAGTTGCACCAATGTTATCATAGAAAGCTTGGGGAGGATTTTTAAGATGCAAGCCAAATTCTATGATTAAGGAGTGAAGTCAAACTGTTTCAAAGGTGGCAGCAGCTAATACATGAAAGTCAACTTCTGTAGAGGAACATGATATAGCTTTTTGTTTGCTGCAGACCAAGAAATGGGATTGAAGCCTAGAAAGGTGATAAATACGGTGGTGGAGACCCTTGTATCAGTGTTGGTAGCCTAGTCAGCATCAACAAAGGTTTGTAGATTTAAGAGGTTGCTCTGTTGAATAAGAATCCCATGAAACATTGTTTACTTGAGATACCTGAGAATTCATTTGGCTGCAGTCCAGTGACACATTGTTGTTTTATGCATGAACTGGAAAAGTTGATTTACTGCAAATACAATATTAGGTCTAGTCAAACCAAGATATTGCAGTGCCCCAATAACTCTTTGATATTCTATGCTATCTGTAGGAGCTGAACCATCCTTAAAATCAATGTCGTGTTGGTGGACAGTGGAGTGTGAATGTCTTTAGCCATATCCATAGAAGTTTGAGAGAGTAAATCTTAGATGTATTTGTGTTATGAAAGGAAAAGGCCCTTGGCTATACGAATGACTTCAATGCCAAGAAAGAAATGGAGATGTCCCATGTCTTTGACAGAAAAGGTATGAGCGAGCTTGTTGATGATAGCAGCTACAAATATAGAGATGTTTCCTGTGATAATGATGTCATCAACATACACAAGACAATAGCTGAGAACACTATTAGAGACATAGATGAATAAAGACATGTTTGTAGCTGAGTCAACAAAGCCAAATTACAGAAGAGCATCCTGAAGAGCTTTGTACCACTGGTAAGGTGCCTGTTTCAGGCCGTAAATACTTTTATTCAGTTTACAAACATAGTCAGGCTTGGAAGCATCTCTGAAGTCCGGAGATTAATGCATAAACACTGTTTCTTCAAGATTGTCATGAAGAAAAACATTATTTATGTCAAGTTGCCTAATGGACCAACCATTCATGACATCAATGGAGAGGATTAAGCGAATTGTAGCTAGTTTGACAACTGAACTGAATGTTTGGGAATAATCAAGACCTGGTCTTTGGTGGAAGCCTTTAACAATTAAACGAGCTTTGTACCTGCTGATGGTTCCATCAGGATTTCATTTTGTTCGAAAAATAAATTTGCAGCCTATAAGATTTTGACTTGCTACAAGAGGAACAAGTTCCCAAGTGGCATGATTAAGTAATGTAGTGATTTCTTCGGACATGGCATTGCGCCAAAGTGGATTTTTAAGTGCTTGACTAACACATGTTGGCTTAGGGGATTCAGTAATGGATGTGTTGTGGTGGTGTGAAGCTGTTTTGGAACAAAGATGATGTTCATAGACCAAGTGGTCATATTATGTCGTCTTTGAGAAACAACTAGAGCTAGAAGATTTACTTGAACTATGGAGACTATAGTTGTAATGTCTGAATTGGATGCAGGGAGAGAGAGCTCTTCTTGATGAACAGTAGAGACTGGTGTAGAGAGTGCTTAGTTTGCTAGGGTGATAATCTGTAGTAGTGGTGCAGATAGAGTAGGAGCGACAAGTAAGGAAGACTCAGAAGTGGACTGGTTGATGATGTGCTTTAGAGGAAAGGCGTTTTCATCCTACGTAACATGCCGTGAGACATATAAGCGTTAAGTAGGTAAGTGGAAGCAAAGATAGGCACTCTGTGTAGTGGAATAACCAAGAAACACACAGGGAACAGAGTTTGGCTGAAGTTTATATGTGTGGTAAGGTTTCAACTAGGGAAAACACAAGCAACCAAATGTTCTGAGTTTGAGATAATTGGAAGCTGCTGTGAACAAGGTTTGAAAGGGAGATTTGTGATGAAGAATAGGAGAGGGCAATTGATTGATTAAATAGGTTGCTATGGCAAAAACATAGGACCAGAAATAGAAAGGAAGATTGGCGTGACTGAGAAGTGTGGTGCATGTTTCTACTATATGTCTATGACGACTCTCTGAAACGTCATTTTATTGAGGAGCGTGTGGGGTTGTAGTATAATGGCTTATGCTATGAAGAGTAAGAAATGGTTGCAGAGCAACAAATTCTCCATCATTATCAGAGTAGAGACTTTTGATATTAGCATTAAATCGATTTTGTTTCATCTTATGAAATTGAGGAAAAATGACTTTAACATCAGATTTGTTACAAAGTGGAAAAAACCTGACATATTTTGTGAAGTGATCAATGAAGATCACATAATATTTATGACCTTGAATGCTGATTTGTGGTGATGGTACCCAAACATCGATATATATTAAATCAAGAGTAGAGCTAGTGAGGCCATGTTTATGAAAAGGCAGGCGATGAGATTTATTAATAGAACAGGAATCACAAAAATGAGATATAGAGGAATTACTAGAAACTGGAAGAGAAAATGAGGAGATCATTTTATCTATAACTTTTGAGGAAGGGTGGCTTAGGCGCTGATGCTAGCCATTTATAGACGTGCATTCATGAACCATTGCAATAGGAGTGGAGACAGAGGGATGAGGTAGAGGATAAACATCATTCTCACATGGTCCTTGAAGAAGAATCTTTCTCGTCTATTGATCCTTGATAAAAAAACAAGAAGGATGAAATTCAAGAAACACATTATTATATTTGGTGAAATGATAGACTGAAATCAAATTTTGATTTATGGTGGGAACAAAAAAAGTGTCTTGAACTTGGAAGGTGCGTTTAGGAAAGGAAAGAGTAAGAGAACATGAGTGAGTGATTTTCAAACCTGAACCATCTCCAATGAGCACTTCATCATGCCATCATATTCAGAGTGTAAGTGCAGATTGGATACTTGAGAGATGATGTTATGCGATGCAGCAGAGTCAATGAGCCAACGCTGATCTAGACTTTAAGAAGCGGTGATGCAGTGGGCTGTAGCCTTCCTGGTGTGTAACTTAGGACAGTGTTTTGCAACATGGCCAAGTTGATCACAGTATTGGCATTTGGGAGTATATTTTTGCTGCCTGAAATAGCAAGGTTGAGATTTAAAATTATATTTTTGTGTGGCTGTATGAAGAGAAGACCATGGTTGTTTTTGTGAAAAACTATGATTCTTGCGCTAAGTATTATGTGATGTAACGACCAGGGGAGGAGAAATAATGTCTAGGCATTTGAGGTAAGACTCATGACCAATGAGAAGATCATGAAGTTCTTCAAATGATAAAGAAGATTCGCGTGTACGAATAATGGCTACCATTTCTCTATATTCAGGACCTAAGCCATTGAGAACATAGAGAGTAAAATCATCAGCAGAGAGAGGAGCATCAATGAGTGCAAGCTCATCGACAATAGACTTGATAGAATAAAGAAATTCTGTGACAGTGTGTTCCATGCTGAATGAGAGTGAGATCCTCTTTGAGTTGCATGACTCGTGTTTTAGAACGACTGGCATAAAGCTTGGTCAGTTTGTTCCAGGCTTGAGAGGATGTTTTGGAAGCTGCTATGAAAGGTATCACAGAATCAGACACCGAAGTAAGAATAGCATTCAAAATTCATTTGTCATGTCGAAACCAGTGAGTAGAGGCAGCAGTAGGTGCTGCATCAGGATTTATGGATAGGGGAATGTGAGTGTACCATCAATATAACCATATAGGTTGTAGCCGAGAAGGAGGGACTCAAATTGTGCATGCTAAGAGGGATAATTGGATGGTGTGAGTCGGGTGGTAACCTGCTATGTGAGATTAATAGCAATAGGGAGAGAGGCTAAGGAGGCCATTGCAGAAGCGAAAGAAGAGAGAAAAAAAAATCAAAGGAGAACTCGTTGGAGAAAAGAGGACTCTGATACCATAAAGAGAAGATAAGAAATAGATTAATGAGATAACTTCATATACATTTTCATTTACATTATGCATTGTACGTGTATAAATACAAGATTGAAGAGCTTATTAAGCCTGAAGTTTTGCTATTCTATAATTAACTGCAAGCTGTTCATAATTCAAACATTCAAATTAAACATAAAGATTTGATTTTGATGAATAAGGATTTTATAGAGGAACTGATGCTGTTGGATGAATGATTTATGGAAGAGTGATGACTTTCCTTAATGGTGTTATGATATTTTGATCGATTTGAAAATCATGATCCTTGAATAGACTAATGATATGTGAAAAAAAAAAAAAAAAACATGTTAAATTGGGTTTAATAGCCATCCCTTTGTTGGCCGCACATATTGAAACAAGACAACTAAAATATCAATTCATTTGTTCAAAGGTAAAGTCTTATTATAGAGTAGATATGGCTGGGGAGATAAAATCATTGATTTCCTCTTTTTCTTGTTCTTTTTTTCTAAAAAAAAGAAAAATTTAGAAGGAAAAAAAATTATTCTATTAAATTACTTTTTTGAACGTATTAATATTTTGTCATATTCCTCTTTTAACGTTGATACCATTTTTACTTAATTTATACAAAGCATATTATACTATATTTTAAAACGTATGGGCAAAAGACTTTATATTTATTACAGATAAAATAGACTTAATGCATTGTACACGACACTATATATATATATAAAGTACTTGCACTGAAGATAATACCATAACACCTGTGGGGGAGTTATCTATTATATCTTTAGTTAACAATTATTGATGGGTCTAAAAAACTTGGGTTCAATAACAAAAAAATCAATTAATATTTTTTTAAATTTTGATTTTAATTGGAGTTGTAGACCCAGTGCTGGTGGCTGAAAAACTTAGAAAACCTGGAAAAAAGGCAGAAGTCGTTAGTGTTGGGCCGCCTAAGAAAGAACCAGACGAAGAGAAAGTTACTCTTATTGTTATTACTGGCAGTGATCTCATCACCACCACTGAATTCACACCTCCAACAAAGGGAGCAAAAAAAAAAAAAAGAAAAGAGCACACACAAGAAGATAAACAAGCATGGATATAATAATTATATCCCAGCTCATGTTTTATTTCTCAGTCTTATTCCAACCTTCACGTACCACCATCTTCATTTATAGCTACCTTCTTCAATTCCACCAGATCATTGTGTTGTTTTTACTGATACAAATTTTTAAGCGCATCTTCCTGGGAAAGTTGGAAAGCATATCCTGCTGCAACAAGTTATGTCGCCGATTACGCATGGAGATGTACCTGCAGGGAGGCACTTGTCTGCCGATTTAGGCATCATCACATTTGAGAGTGGAATGTTCTTGGTATTACTAGTAGTGATCTCGTCAACACCATCAGAGTTGAGTGGGATTTCCCTCATAGAGAAAGCACAAGGAGAAATAGTCGCAATGAAGAGTAAGGACACTATCAGAAACAAACTCACTTTCTTGCTATCCATCTCTCCCCCACACTCGCACACAAACCCTAAGCTTTTAATTTACTCACTTGCAGAGTAAGTTTTTGTTCTTAATGCATGATAGAGGTTGCATGCAGAGACTTCGTTATATAGCGGTGTGATGATTTTTCCGCTCGACAAATTGATAAAGGCACTCAACTCAATAATTCAATTCTGCAGCCCACGTTTAAATGATAAATACAGCAAAGTCATTATCACGTTTAAGTTATGCCTAGAAGAGGTTTCATTTCAACTCATTGTTATACTTATCTAGTTAGTTATACAGAAAACTATAGACCCTAGCTAGTGTGCACACCGACCTAGCTGCCTCCATAAATTCACTATGCTACTCCTCATTTTGTGCAAGGGAGAGATACAAACAATAGATGTGGCTAAAATATTATTCCTTCACGCACTATAAACACATACTCATGGATACTGTCAATTTATTATGCTCCTGAGTTTTTTTTTTCTTTTTTTATTTAATTTTATTCTTTAAGGACATGAATGAAGGCAAATTTGGTTAAAATTGTCAAGAGAGTGAAGAATTGAGAGATAGAGCACCAAAGAGAAAAACATGGAGGAGATGGGTGCCATTTTTGAACTTCTTGGTGAAATGTTCAATTTAGTCCTTATACTTTTTTAATTATAAAAATTAGGTCTCCCTCCAATTTTTAGTATGTGCTATGTGAGTTGTTTGTTTTCAACACTATAATGATTGATTTTTTAAATAATTTTTTCTCAATCTCATTTTACCTTACAATGATTTACTATCAATGTTATTTGTGAATATATAAAATATTGTTTTGTAATTTATCTATGGTAATGAATAATTTCTTAATTACTCGAATATTTTCATATAATTCTTATTACATTTAATATTTGTTCATTTGTTATCCTTGATTAGGACAACATATAGCAAAATTATCGCATAACATTCTTTATATAAAATAACTTAGTACTATCAAATCTAAGAATCACTTATATATTTGTCACTTGAGCGGCGTATTATGTATCTCTCAATAATTCTAACTAATATATATCTAGTCTTAATAGAGTTTTCACCATGAACAATGCTTTGATGCAATATAAATCTTATAATTATAATAACTTTATAATTTTCTTTACAAAACATTTTTATCTCAAGAACTTAATCTTTACTTTAGATTCATTCATCAAATATTAAATTCATTCATCAAGTATTTGATAAATATTAAAAATAAATAAGATTTCACTAAAAATTAAATATATTTATATGAATGAAGTGAGTATCATATATAACCATTTGATTGGCTACATGATATAGATACTAGTAGTTATTCGGTTATTGTAATTTCTCATTGAAAACAAAGTTACAAGAATAAATCATCAAATAATAATCTTACATCAATGGGCTAGATTTTATAAATGTTACTAATAAATAATGATGTATTAGTAGTAGTTATATTGTGGACAAACCTTAAGCAGCCGTTCAGTTTTTGTGTTTGGATAAATTTACTTTCTCTCAAAAAAATATTAATCTCTCAATTAAGATATTTTTTCAAACAAATTTGACAAAAGAATGTTATATTTAATTATAATGATGCAATTTTTTCAGTAAAAAATTATATAATTTGGATGGAATTCAAGATAAATATGGATGAAAATAATTAATTGAGAGTTTTATAAAATTTTGAGGATCAAAATTAAAAACAAATCAAGACTGTCTACATAATCAAGGGGATTTTGGCAATCTCATATTACTTTTTTTGTAATTCTATACTATTTTTGTAGTTCTGATACGTGTCTGCTTCTTTCCAGGAGTCGTTGCAAGACATTGACACCTAATTTATACTACTATTTTATACTTTTACACTTTGTTTTGATGTCTTAGTACGTTAATGATACCTTCTTTACATCATTCATGAACTGTGCGCTGCACTGTCTATTAATTAGTATCCTTCTTGGGAATATATTTCAAATTTTCATTCATAGAAACAGCTAGCGATTATAATAATTAAGAAAATATATTTAATGATCATACGATTTTTCTTTTTTAAATTTATTAAAAAAACTTAACAAACCACAAACGAAATCACACCTCCAACAAAGGGAGGAAAAAAAAAAAGAGCACGCACAATAAGATAAACAAGCATGGATATAATAATTATATCCCTGCTAATGTTTTATTTCTCAGTCTTATTCCAACCTTCACGTACCACCATCTTCATTTACAGCTAGCTTCTTCAATTCCACTAGATCATAGTGTTGTTTTTACTGATACAAGTTTTCAACCGCATACTGGTGGGTAAATTAAAAGGCATATCCCGCTGCAACAACCTACGTCGCCGATTAAGCATGGAGATGTACCTGGAGGGAGGCACTTATCTGCCGATTTAGGCATCATCACATTTAAGAGTGGAATGTTCTTGGTATTACTGGTAGTGATCTCGTCAGCACCATCAGAGGTGAGTGGGATTTCCCTCATGGAGAAAGCACAAGGAGAAATAGTCGCAATGAAGAGTAAGGACACTATCAGAAACAAGCTCACTTTCTTGCTATCCATCTCTCCCCCACACTCGCACACAACCGCGAAGCTTTTAATTCACTCACTTGCAGACTAAGTTTTTGTTCTTGAATGCATGATAGATGATGCATGCAGAGACTTTATTATATAGCGCTGTGATGATTTTTCCGCTCGACAAATCGATAAAGGCACTCAGCTCAATAATTCAATTCTGCCGCCCACGTTTAAGTGTTGTCCACTACTATTCACTATCA